GAATTTTATATACTAGTAATGGCAAACTGTGTAGCTATTGATTTTTTTTCTTGTGACCTAATCAGAGTGCCTGTGGCAATATCTGATCTGTATTGCTTTCACCAAGAATTGTCTTGGGACTATAGTAAGGGGTTTTTTTTGTTTGTTTTTTCATCTTAATTAGTAATCATCGCTATGTTAAGTAAACTTGCTGGAAATGAGGTGATGTTGTACAGTATAGTTTTAGCAATTCTTGTTAAGTAAACTTATTAGTAAAATCTCTAAAAATGAGATTCCCAAAGTGTGTGCTAAAGGCAATGTACAGTAACTTGAAGAAATGGTGCGGGGGTTGAATAATTAGATAAGGCTAGATCTGCTAAAGGAATTAGATGCCTAAATGCCACTTCAAGCTTCATTATTCCAACATTTAGGTATCACTGAGATCCTCAAAACCTTTCTTAGCTTCCACTTAGCCCTGTAGGTGTCTACATTTATACTGTTAAAGTCCCCTAATTTTCTGCTTCTGCGCAGGAGTACAGCTGCCTCAGTCTTGGCACCCACACGCCTATCTCACACCTAAGCCCCACCCTTCTCCTCAGCATTTCCTAATGGCTAGTTTAGGCAGCTCCCTGCTTAGAATGCTGACTTTTGTGAATCCCACTCTTATGTGCCTCTCTCTCCCCATCATTGTATAGCAAGCCTAGGCACCTAACTCAGGTCTGTGGATTCCACTGGGTGGCAAGATCCCAGATTCTCACAGGTATTTAAGTGTCCTACTCATACGTCATGTAATATATACTTGAAAACCCCATCAGTTACATGCACAAATGTTCATGGTTGAAAAGTTCCCGAGTGAATGTTTGCAAGTGCATTGTTGCAGACACATAAGAGTTTGTGTTGAAGCCTTTGAATTTTAGACCCATGATTGTTTTATCTGAAGGCTAAACGTATAATAAAATAGTTCTTAAACCAATTAGTTATCCTCAACTGCTGCCCACTTTTTCCAGCAATATAACTGATAACTGAGCATTGTGCTAAATGTTTTTAACTATAGCTTTGATCACTTTCTGTTTTAGTAATACTTTTTAGTATAAGAATTTTTCCTTTATGCTTTGCTCCCCCAAATTATAAACTGGCAAAGAATGCTAGTTTTTCCAGAGCATGGGTTTATAAGGGCCAGATGGAAAGTATCTTTGGTGTAATTCAAGAACACAACAAAAAGGAAACATAATATCAGTGTAATCTAGTTAGAATTTAAGTGAATCAGAACCTGTCAATTTATACGTATGGTAAGTGGGCATTGCCACTAGCTTACAATATATTTAATGTTAACCTGTATAAGTAGCAATATCCATAATATTCAGAGCTGAAATACCAGTTTTTACTTCTGGTATACGAAAAGGCTCAGCTCTTGCTTAAATATCTCATAATTTTAGGATTAGAATAAATCTTATTATGAGGCTGGTTTTCAAATATAGAACAAATTAAAGGCAGTTCTGGCTCTCTTGTTTTCTTTATTACTTTTGTTTAAACTCTTGATCAGTCATCCATTAGTGGGTATGAAACCTGGTATGGAATCAATCTCCCAATACCCCACATTTGTTTCCTATCTCGCAGTATGGATGCAGACATTTTGGGTATGTCTATTCTGCAATTAAAAACCCGTAGCTGGCCTATGCCAGCTGACTTGGGCTCCCAGGGCTCAGGCTCTGGGGCTGATTAATTGCTGTGTAGACATCCAGGCTCGGGTTGGCGCACAGGCTTTAAGACCCTGTGAGGTGGGAGGGTCCCAGAGCTCGGGTGGCAGCCTGAGCTGGAATGTCTACACTGCAACAGCCACGCAGCCAGAGCTCCATGAGCCCAAGTCAGCTGGCATGGGCCAGCTGCAGGTGGCTAATTGCAGTGTAGACATACCCTATGACCTATATTGTGAGCTCTAACCCCCAGAGTATTCTTGTCATTTACATTCTCAGGTCTCTTCAAAATTAGGAAAAATTTCCCGTATGTTTTCTAGTCTATTGCAAATAGGAACACTGAAATATTAGAAACATTTACAAATAGGTACGTCTGTTACCCTTGAAATTTTAGTTAGGATGACTGTTGCTAGAAAGTTCCAGTGTACTCTTGCGTCAGGTGAACAGGTCAATATGTCATAAATTGAGAGAGAGATGGGCAAAGAAGGTTTTGTTGGTTTTTTTAAATTTATTTATTCATTTTAAAGCATTAGGTACTTTGCTTTCTGGCTTATTAGTAGAATTAACTGAAACATTAGTTTTCACTTTGCAAAACTGAAGGAGTCTCAAGGAGCTACATAATTTCATTCTATTTAAAAACATTGTTTGTTTGTACAAATTGAGTTAGCTGACGTACTGATGGTTACTTTCAGATTAGTATAGACCAGGACAAATTGTGTTCATTCTTGTCAGCTAAACATGGCATGATGTTGAATGTGGTTTATCCCTGATCTACTACTCTACCCCCCCCCCCCCAACTTGAAGGTTTAATCATGATTAGCTGACATGCTGAACACAATTTGCCCTGGTTTTACTTAGTGCAAAGCCACGATCAGCATCGTATGTGCTAACTCAATTCTCTTCAACAATATTCAAATACATTTTGTAGTGAGGACAAGCCCAGTCTGTTGATGAGATGTCTAATTGGAGCAATAGGTGGTGGTAAATAAAATAGTCTGTAAATTACTTCCAGTACCTACCATAGTATGTGTGGGGTGTAAATAAGTTAACTTTTATTTCATACTTAATTTTGTATTTATATTGCTCCACAGTTTTACTTAGATTTAAGAATAAACTTGTTTTACTGTTTCTAATCACTCTTTTTCCTTTCTCTGTTGTTTAATTCTAAGAAACAGAAATTATGGGAATAGAAGAGATCTAACTCGAGAACTCTCAATACATACTACTGTAACATGAACGAGAATGAGAAAAACCATTAGACTTAAAATCTTACACAAATAAGAGGCTTTATTTTGGGAGAAGGGTAATTCATTTTAAATTTTCCTTCCAACCCAAAAAAAAAAAAAATGCTACAAATTCCTTTTAGTCTGCTTTTAGATCTGAAGGAGTTGACTCTGACAGTATTCTTCCAACAACTCCTTAAAATGTTCTTGTCAGACCTTTAGAGAAGCAAAACTCAGTTAAGGGTCACCAATAAAATTAAATGCAAATCGTGATACAGATGAAGTACAACAGTAGATTAAGCTGGGGGAAAAGGGGATCAGGGTAAACTGCAGGCCTTACAATCTGGAGGTACTATTCCTTTGATCTTGTCATTGTCCAAGTCCCTGATTTTTTTTAAAGTACCTTTTTGTTGCACATTTTCTTCCCCAGTTTCTTGTATATCTCTATTAAATTTCCAGTTTGAAAACTTAATTTTTCTGTGTGCAATGTAATGTATTTGGAACGCTAACATTTAGTCACAGTTCCTCTTCCCTCCATTCTTCACTTTCAAAAAGAAATATAAAACTTTACAACATGGCTATATGTAAAAACTTCCACTGTCTTTGGTGGGATTGAAGCAAGCCATCAGTCATCAGATAGAATTCTGCTTGTGGCTGCGCACCCTCAGAAGTGTTAGCTGAAAATAAAATGTGCATATACACGGAGATTTTTTTTTTAAAGAAAACACTTTTTATTTTCCTCTAAATGGTCCTGACTCTAAACAATTGCTATGTACAGGAGAATAGCTTGCAGAGATCTGTGTTTGAGTTATAGGATAACAATATTGTATCTTAAAATAAAATTACCATTCCATAACTAAACTCCCTATCAAACCCCTTACCTCCTACGCACACAAGACTCTCTATATATTACAAAAATATTCACTTCTGGGCTAAAACTTTTAAACAGAGTTATAGCTTGGTGCTATAAACCTGAAAAAATTGTAATGAAAATAATGGCTTGTAATGGAAATTTGACAGACTAATTACAGTGTTGCTTTAATTGTCTTATTTCAGTTTTGTTCCTCTAACAGCTGTTCGGTTATAGGGATCTGTTTGTTTTTTACTCAGTCCCTGTTGATAATCATCTTAAAATATATCTTAGAGAAGAAATCCTAAAACTTTTTTAAATTTCATGAGACTTTTATTTTACCTCAGCATGTTTTGATAATAGAGACGTCTTGGTCTGTTTAGGTTGTAGTCTTTAGATTTGGGCGTTCATACTCCATCCTGATATATTGCCATGGAGATGTTTCCCATTAAATACAAATTCCTGGTTTATAGCATGCATGATAACTTTGATGTGGATTTTTTAGTAAGTAATAGATATAACCTCATAAAATCCCTCTGCTTTGGGTGATCTGTATCATCCCAGTAACTTAGTTATCTTTAAGTAGTTACACAGTAAACGGTTGTATATGTGCAATTAATTTGATATTTTGTTTTATAGTACATCATTCACAAACGTGAGAAAAGCAAAAACCAAATTGAAAGCACAAAGATTTGTCTTATCTTGTCTTGCAACTATATACCAGAATAGTCATGGTAGTTTTAAATTAAAAACAAGCTGAACCTACTTCAGAAAATACATTTCTTTAGACATACTGAAATTGAGTTTGCATGAAAATCCTATAAGCAGAGAATTAGAGTAAATAATATTCAGGGAGCAACATATGTCAAGGCTTGAGATTTAGAAATTTAGCTTGTGAAAGAATGGTGACTTTCTTGAAGATACACAGATGTATTAATTTTTAATTTGTCTTTTTGATCTCTAAATTAGTGCAGAAGTTTTACTGATTAATTTTAAGAAAGCAAGTGTTTGAAAGTTTTGGCAAATACTAACTTGTTGTAATGAATGTATGGTAATGAAAGAAGTTAAGACGAGAGCTGAATTAGAGTGAATGATTGTTCAGTCATGTGGGTCAGGCTAGCTGCATAGCTTGGTTGTTAGACTGATTGCTCAAATTACATTGCCTCAGGTCCTGCATTTGGTTGGCTGTCTTCTCAGATCTTAACAAGGTTCTGGGAATTTGTTTCTGACAAAGTTTGCTTTGTGTTTTTGCAGGATGCTTCATCTGCAGACATAAGGAAAGCATATCGCAAGCTTTCACTAACTTTACACCCAGACAAGAACAAAGATGAAAATGCAGAAACCCAGTTTAGACAAGTAAGTGACACATACTATAATATACTTTTTTGGGGGGGAAAGGGGGGAGAATAAGATCAGAAAGTTTATGACATAACTTTACTTATTAACATCAAGAATAAATACAGTTTTGATAGCAAAGTAATATTTTGAAATTATTAGTAATAATTTCAAACAGGACAAAATTATTCCTGTATTAGTTGGATTTAGTGTTGGACAAAGGTCATATAAAATGTTCTGAAGCTAGTTCAGTAACTCAGATAGTATTCAAGTATTTGAATACATTTGATTTATAAGTATTTTAAAATATTTAGATGTATTCCTGTTAACGAAAACAAATGTTTTATTCTTTTCTCTCTGCATAAAAGCATACATACAAACTTCTGTTAAAAGGGAAAGTCTGTTTGTAAGCGTACACTTTGACTTTTAATAGAAGTTGGGAAAAAGATCATCTCGTCAGTCTTCATTATAAGTCATTTAATGTAGATATCAGTAAAATAATTATCTTAAGTCTTGAGCATTTTCCCTTCTGAATCTTGACATTTAACTGAGCAATACGGTATGTCTGTCATAGTTCAGCTTTACCAGTTCAATCTATTTCACAAAACGAAGGCTACTTGCTGTGTGGTGTTATAATTGGAGTACCTTTGGACCTATTGAAGGGACACTATTAACTTAAAAATCACATTCCTGATGGAAATTTTTTACCTATATTTGAGACGAATATCACCTCAGACTGAAATATGAGACGCGAAAAAAATCTGTTTTTAAGATTTGATTGCTTTGTGCATGGTGTTTTCACTGTTTCCTTTTCATAGTCATTTTCTTAATAAAAGCAATGTTTTTATTTTAGTTGGTGGCTATCTATGAGGTTTTAAAGGATGAAGAGAGAAGGAAGAGGTGAGTACACTTTGCATATTTTTCAATAAACCTCTCATGGGTGCTAATCCTACAGAATTTATGCACATGCTTAACTTTATGCACTCTGAGTAATCCTATTGACTTCACTGACTCACACGGAATATAGTTAAGCACATATATAAGTCTTTGCACGATTTTGGGGCATAATTTTTATTTAGCTACTATTTAAAATAAATAGAATGTTTATAGATATATGGCACATGTTTCAGTGAGATAAGCTGATTATTTCCTTTGATTCTGAACATTTTTTAAAACAGTTTGTATTTGGAGTGAAATTTTCTGTTAGAACAATCTCTAAAAGATTAGTATTTGTAGTTCTGTATTTCTGGATCATGTCTACATGGGCAGAGAGCCATAACTTGGTGAGTTACAATTTTAGGCATGTGAGTTGGGAATTATAACTCATTTTGCCCACCTGTTGGTTCCTTCTCACTACATAAGAACTTTCACATGATGCTTAGGTACTCTGTTCCTGAATGTTTCTATCTTCATGTATTTTGCTATTTTTCTTTTAAAAAGCATATAATTTGATACTGTAAACATAGGTTTATCCAGACACTAATATAATCATAAGGGTTTTTTTAAGTGGTAGATAGTTGCCCTGGTATATAATTTAAATATTTGACTAGTGCCCCAGAAGCTTAAGTGGTGTTCCACGAGTAGCTGAAAGATAGTAACGGACAGTAGCTTGTTTGGACTGCTTTCCAAAGGACTGTAATGTGCCTGTACATATAATCTGGTTTTACTATATCCACTTGAACTAATGATTATCAGGTTAACTTGGCTAAAGAAAAAGAGCCATGCTCTCAGCACAGGAGTTCTAGTAAAGTATCTTAAGGTTTACAACTCTCTAAACAGGGATTCTCAGGACCTTCTCTTGAAGGCTTTTGGCTTTGTAGAAATCTTGGCAGGAATCCATGTCTCATAGCAGAGATTATCTTCTGTCTGGTAATCCTCTATTTTGAACAAGTCATGGAAATGTGTTTAAGGGAGTTTTTTAGATTGTGTATGTTTTCTACTCTGCCTCCCTCTGTGGAATTTCAACTTGGAGTCATAGATCAAGGAAAGTTAGGAGTTTAACAATGGGCGGAGGGTGGGGGGTAAAAGGGAGGGGGTCTGTATCTATTTTAAAATGTTTCCAAAAGTATGAATTAGCCTGAAATCTTATGTCTTCTTGCTTTATGGGTAGCATCATTTAAATGTATTTTCTATTTCTTCATAGTTTAATGTTGAGGGAGTTTATCATGAGATTTGTCTTTGGAGTGCCTTAGGAATTTCCCCATATCTCCCTCCCCCATGATCTTGCTTCACTTGTAATTGTGATTCAGTAGCTTGTAACTATTATGTAGTTGGGCCTGTCTACCTGAGAAAATTGTACCCATTTATCTAAACGGTTTTAGAAATTGATATATTGAAATTGGTGCAGCCCCTTCATGTGAAAATTTTATTTCATTTTAAGGAAGCCTTGTATCAGGTTAGCTTAAATTGATACATTACAAACAATTTTCTCATATGGACAGGGCCTTCCTGATATTTTTGTCTCTTAGAGCATGTGTGTATGAATAATATAATATATGGAGATATACCTATCTCATAGAACTGGAAGGGACCCTGAAGGGTCATCAAGTCCAGCCCCCTGCCTTCACTAGCAGGACCAAGTACTGATTTTGCCCCAGATCCCTAAGTGGCCCCCTCAAGGATTGAACTCACAACCCTGGGTTTAGCAGGCCAATGTTCAAACCACTGAACTATCCCTCCCCCCAGTGAGTAACCATTTTATAGGCAAAAGGGTGGTGTTCACCTGAAAAGAGATTTCTAGAAATAGTATGCAATCTATAGTGTAAGATCTAGTTGTCCAGTCTCTTCTTCAAGAATCCTTTATCATTTGGATTGGGGACTGAGTTGAAAAACTGAACTGACAGATACATACGTAAGTAGAGGCACTATTCATACCTCTGAAGGCACAACCAACTCATAGGTAACTAGCTTTTCCTTGATGCAGGTCTCAACTAATCATGCTGTGAATCAGTCCTCTAAAGGGACATGCCTGAGGCCAGATAACACATGTTCCCCCTGCAACCTTAAAGGTCTGGAGCATTGGAGAAAAAGGGATAGTCGCCCCTCTAAGAGTCTTCCTACTCCTTTGATGGTTTGGGGGAGGCATTTCATGAGTGGTGGGCTGAGCAATGGTGCTCAGGTAAGCCATTGTCCCTTGTGTACCTGGGAGAGAGTATATAAGTACTGTCACTCCAGCTGATCTCTCTCTCTTAGCAACTCCCCCATCCTAGCCCTAGGATTAGCATAGGAGGTGGTGGTTTTTTTGGCCTGCTGTGGGCATTACACTAGTTGCCTTTTGGGGAGCTGGAAAGAAATTTTGCCCTCAGTGTCGTCAGATTGGCTGGCAAGTAGTGTGGATTTTTTTGCTTTCCCACAGCAGCTCAGGACCTGGTCAGATAGGCCAGGAGGTACAGTTCAAGCTGTCAGAATTTAGCAGGTGACAGGTGTCCGGTGCTGGTACTTGTTCCATAGGAAATCTGGTTCACTGATAAACTAAAAGCGGGCGTGCATGTTAGGGGATGGTAGCCCCTAAAGTAGCTGGGGAACGGGTTTGGGGCTTCTAATGTCTAGTACAGTGAGACCAACCCCCTTCAAGCTTCATGGAAGGGGAAAATGGTAAAGTCCCAGCAATGGGCTAGGACCAGGTATCAGTGAGGGCTGATGGCAGCCCTCAAATAGGTGGAAAAAATTGAAGAAGCAATGATGACCTGCACTGTATGAGTTACTGCCAGGTAGTTCCCAGATGAATTAAGTTAATGAAGTTGCAGCCTAATTAAACCACATCCCTTGCATCTTGTCTTTCTTCCTGCGTGTCTGGGACAATGATTGTGTGTATACAGAAACAATAGTTACACTTCACAGAACAAATCAGTGGAGTAACTCCTTTTAGCAGTTAAAAAAAAATTATTTTACTTTAACACATGGAGTTAGGCATAATTTATATTTTTATTCTCTTTCATTTTGGAGCATAAACGTGCCTTAGAGTATTACAATTTAGTAGTGGTAATTTTTTATAAGAACAAAAAATAAAAACCCCGTTTGTCTTTTCCAGAAAGGTTCACTCTTGGCAGTGGAATGTACTACTTTAGCATATTAACACTTCATAGTTTCCTTTTTTGATTTTAATAGTAATAATTTAAATGTGCTTATAATATGCATTAAAATATTATTTACTTTATGTACGTGCTGTATACATAGTAGTACAGTGCCCAGAACCCTTGATGTAAATTAATCCACATATAAGTGTTATGTGCTAGATAGGATCTTGCATAGGCTTTCTGTGCTGGAGTGCATTTCACCCAGTAAGATTTTTATTGGATAAAATTACAAGCTAAACTTGCTAATAGTCATTACTTTGGTTTTAATTTGTAAAGAGAACGTGTGTAATTTTGAACAAACTTTTCCATTCACTACATCTAATCAAATGTCTTAACAATACATTTAAACCTTAGTGTTTTTAACTAGCTTTTGGTTTATACACCCCACTTTCTGTAACATTGTGATTTTCATTACAGCAAGCATTAGTGTCTGAATCAAAATAAGCATTCTTCTAACACTAAATGATGAGTATACCTTAGCACTTTTTTGTGTAATTGACTGACTTTACACATAGCATATGGAAAATATAAATGTTCTTGACTATATTTGCATTACATGTTGCCTTTGATAGTTTATGGGGGAAAAGCTTCAGTGATGCTTTTTCTAAGGTTTAGATTTTAAATTGTAAGATCTCATTACTTCAGACTTTATCGTTCTTTTTGTAAGCTACATCAGATCTCTCAAGTAATGTGTGAAATGAGAAGTTTCCTGGGCTTTAAAAAAATGGTAAACATTTTATGATTGTAAAATAGATTAATTATACTGTAATGTTGAAATTAGCTACCAAAATTAATTGATTTTCTTGCACTACAGTAAATTCTAGAGTGTTCTAAAAACTACAACATGAATCATCATAGGTAGGTGAAATTATTACACTTTCACAACTGTTTCTTAATAGTGGTTCTAAATTTAAATTAATATTTTTAATGAAAGTTTTACTTTCATTACGAAGTTTACTTTCTTGTGCTGTGATTCAGTTACTTCCTGGTATTTATTTCCCACTGTAAATTGCTGACTATTTCAAAGCACACAAAATTGCTAGGCACTCTCATATGCCATATACAAGTTGCATTATGTGTACTTGCACACATCTGAGGACAGGAAAAAATAGTGCGGATAGATCAAATGAAATTTTGTGGGAAGAAGAGGTAAAGGGTAGTAATTTAAAATAGGTTGATAAAGGAAGAATGCTTTGTAATTCAATTTTGAATATGATTCTCCTTGCTGCACATGCTTTGATTGACTATCCTTCATAGCTGCTAATTTTTTTTTTTTTTGGAAAAAAAGTACTTTACTGAGTAATATGTATGCTTCTTAATTAAACAATGTCTTAAATGTGGAAAACAAAATTAAAAATTTATGGGAGGCTTTTGAGTAACTCTGGGATCATTGTTCACTTTTTGTAACCCTAAAAATCATCGTGATAGCTTTATTTTTCAAATACAGTGCTTAATTACTGTAGAAAGCAGTGATTTATCTTTCAACAGTATATATTCTAAAAAGTGGGTTATAATAGAAGCTATCTTCCTTTAAAATGGCCAGTCGTGTGAGCCATAATGTTCATTGATAGTAAAATCAATAGAGCATTGATTCTAAGACATAATCCTCAGAGACTGTTGTTCAGAACACAAGACATAACCAAATAAATACTGTGTACTGTTTAGAGCGTTTAGTGCATGAAATTCTGCTGTCTTAAATTTGGTTATGTGTTAAACAGGATTTATATATTGTGAAGATAAGGCTGCATAGTTGATACTCATAACAATACTGGAAAACAAATATTTAGCAGCATTATGTTATCATAACTTATATGTTTTTCCCCTCTAGTACATAACTTAAGTTTAGTAATTAACTTGTCCCACTGTATCAGAAAGAAAAATATTTAGTAAATTAATAGTAATGTACAAAAAGACATCCTTTTCCCTTCACCCCCATGTGTCTTTGAGAGCTTTAAATTGATGGCACATGCGAACATAACATTTTGTTAGCAACCTTTTTTTCTGAAATCAGATTATCCACTGTCTTAATTGAATATAATCATTTTGCTTCCAAAATATTTTTCTTGTATTTCAACTCTAAACTATTCAGTAGGACTAGAATGCATTATGATTTTTAGATGAAACAAGTGTTAAAGTGACTGTTTGCTTGGTTTGCTCTTGAAATGTATAGTTTTCCATTCTTTAGTAGTTTAAGTTTAAAATGTCATTTCCTAAAGTAAGTGCTGAGTAGGTTTTTTTTCTTATACAGATACGTTATTGCCTCAAGTCTTTTTTTTATTGATTTATTGTGAAGGAAGAAAAAAAGTTATCCTAAAATCAGAATTTACATTTCTTGATATTAATCTTATACAATTATGAAAATGTATATGAAGACATATGATACTAAATAAGATGTATATGTAACCATAGAAGTCAGCAGAATATTGTGCTTTAAAACTTTTTCCTAGTAAATTACTAATAATGTCTCCTGCTTTGAACAAATAAATGGTCATTTATCAGAAGTCAAATTTTCTAGATTTGTTGAATTAAATATATTTTGCACTTAAAAGCAGTGTTTTTCCACTAAAAAAAAAAAAAAAAAAAGAAGTTGCCAGCAATAAATCTTAGTTTTTTTAAATTTCTTAGTACATCTCCAAGGTATCAATTTAATAACTATCAAAGTAGCTACTGCAGTTGTTGCATTTAAATTGATTTACATGTCAAGACTGGCAGTTTAGCAGCTGCGCTATTATTCCTGGATCGGTCAATTTACTTGAGAAAAACCTACTACTGAGTTCTACTGACCTGCATGACAATATAGGCCCTATTTCTATTCCTGTAATTAGGCCTGCGACTAACTCAGAATATTTTTAATTAAAATATTTTGGTCAATGTGTTGCACCAAATTAGGCCTTTCAGTGCAGATTTAATTCTAGAAATGGTGTGATTAGAATATGTAATGAATTGCGTTCAGTTTAAGATTAACAGGTTGTGTATCTTCAACATACAGTATTTGAATGTGACTATTTCAAGTTTTATATTATAGCATTTTTCTTCTAAGTTTTTCCTCTTTATGTTTTTGGTTAGGTATCTTAAATTTAAATTTTGTATGGTTATGTAAACCAGTCTTGAAGTACATTAAATAAATTAACAGGCAAAGACTGCTTACGTTAAAGTACTTCAAGGAGTAAATGTGGAAAAATAAACTGACTTTTTTTATTCAAATGACTTTTGTAAGAACATAGTTACATTAATAAAAGAGAACAGCCTTAAAATAAATTGAACAGTTTAATGTGAGCAGGTTAACTTTTCAATAGCATTCTTTAGAAATAAACAAAGTTGCCTGGATCCTGGGAACCTTGATTTCTAGCAGCATAAGCAAGAGTTTAATTAGGAGGTACACCTAGCTAGAAGGTTTGTGATATAACACCATAAAGAAAATCAAGAGCCAGATATTTTACCTCATTATTCTTGTTTTTAGTTAGTAAAACACTTAAGTAATTGAAACGTCGTTCCTTATGTTCTCACATTTCAGTTATTTCTCTTGTTGTTCACTTACATCCTGGGGACCTGACCATTGATTAATAGGCATGCAGAACATATATCCCATTCTACAGCAAGTCCTGATTCATAAGAAAATCAGATCGGGGTGCTGTAGGAATAGTAGAGTTTACCACCTTTTCTGCAAGAAATGGGAAGCATTTCCACATCATACTGCTCTGAACTCTGTCTGTCCCCTGGTATTTCAAAAAAGTTACATTATTTTTATTATTTTATTTTATTTTGTGGTGTTGTGGTAATTTCTGTCTTTAACATGAAGTGAGTTGGTTTATTTCATTTTAAACTCTCCATGAAAGCCTGTTATATTTGCTACTGTAGGTATGATGATATTCTGATCAATGGACTACCAGACTGGCGACAGCCTGTATTCTACTACAGGCGGGTGAGAAAAATGAGCAATGCTGAGCTGGCATTACTCTTGTTCATTATTCTCACAGTGGGTCATTATGCTGTGGTTTGGTCAATCTACCTGGAAAAACAGCTGGTAAGTATTGGTAATAAATCAAATGCACTACAATCATTAGTGTATCTGAAATTCTTGCAAAAGTTTCCAAATAATAGGGATTTTTACAATATGTCCTTTTTCCATTGAAATTAGTTTTCTGGTATTTTAAATGGTTAGTTGTATTAGTAGCAAATATTTTATTATTTAGTTGTATGTTTTATATGTTCTATATGTTCTAGATTCAAAAGTCAAAATGAAATAATTTTTATATGAATGTAACATAAAATTTTAATTTCTTATACGGTCGCTGATGACGATTAGTGAACAAGAGGGTTTTTTTTCTAGTTATCAGAGGAAAGAAAGACAGCAGACACCTTCTCTACCATCTGTTGAAGCAGAAACATGTCTTTCTATGGTCATGCTTTTGGTCTTCACAAGTGTTGGGTGTCTCTGGTCTTGATTTTCAGAATTCATACTCACTTTGGCTTTTCCTGTTCTTACTGGAGGTTTTTTCCAAAATAAAACTTGATAAATGTTCTCTGGTCCATTAGATAAGCAGTCAAAGCTTAAAGCATTTTTTAGTATTTATTCTCCCCTGCCCCCCACCCCTATATGTCTTTGGAAGCTTTAAGTTGATGGTACAAGCAAACATAACATAAAAATCAATCAATTTTTGTTTATACTCTTAAAAAAACAAACACAAATTCAACAGTATTCACACATTAGCATCTATTTACTTTTTATTTTCCAAGCTACATTATTAAAGTTGATGAATGAGAAAGGAGGCAAGTTGAATGCTTTCTCTTCTTAGAAAACTTTGATTGCTATGGAGATACACATGACTGACAGAGCTGGACTTCATGTGTGTTTAAGGACTGGATGCCATGGCAACAGTTATTGTTAAAGATAGATGATTTTACTTAATCATGTAGGACCCTAGATATATTTGCATAAATGCTACTCTAATGTTTATCCTTCACAGAAGAGTTCCAGTAACATTCATAGAGTACATGTTAAAGATAATTGTAATCATAATTCTTTCTACATTAAGGATGAACTGCTTAGCAAAAAAAAGAGAGATAAGAAGAAAAAGACAGGAGGCAGGAGTACAGATGAAGTAAAACTTGGGGCTGCTGACAAAAACGAAAGGTGGGAACAGTTACTAGTGTATTTTCATATTTAAATGATTTTGTCAAAGGTCCACTTCAGCTATTAAAGAAATTGATCAAATATTTTACACACTCAGCCTGTATGCTTGTATGTGGTGTGTCCACACCGAAAGATAATCTCTTAAATTTATGAGAATGTTGCAAGGCTGGCAATGTGTACTCTGATTGCTGTTTATAAATATTCAGGGAGGCATTGGTGTGGGTTTGTAATATGAAATGTGGCTATGTGGAAGTTCAAAAGTAATTGTAAAGCAAAGAATGTATAAAGTATAGTTCATTTGCAGAAGGGTGCTTCTGGTTTATAAAATAATTTTTGCAAGAAGTTTATTACAAGCTTTTCCACTGAAGATTTAAATTAGGTTAAAAATGTAAACTAACAAGTTCACCATTACTGAGTCTTTAACGTATTGCTCTGGTAAGTGCTGAAATTTTGGAGGTTCTTGAATGTTGTTTGATTCACGTAGAAACAAAAGCATTAGTAAAGGATTCTGACACTGCTGTTTAGTTAAGAAACAACATAGGGAAGTGACATCCAGTATACTCCAAAAGATACCACCATTTCTTCTATTGATTTATAGAAAGAAATAAAGGGTTTAAATAGTTCACACAGCAGGGGCATGAACTGGATCAATGCAGGATGGAGATCAGAGACTATTCTGCCTGTCTTCTATTCTGATGACATCAGTGAGTAATGCTTCAGTGAACTGCAAATGACATTAATTTTTATGTATTGGTTTATTTATGCTACCGTCTTCATATCTAGTTGTCAGCGCTTGTGAACACTTTGGTGATGGTTAGTCTTTTTTAGCTGAAATAATCACTTAAGTCTTAGGAATTTATTTTTGTGTAAATGAAGAAAAGTCCTGTTAAAAGAAGATTAAAAATATAACAATTAATAGAAGCACATTGTCTAAATCTAGTCTCGATTCTTTGGTTTGTTATATGCTTTTTAATGGCTTCAATATTCATAATGTATATTTTGTATTAATGTTTATGCACTTTCAAAATGGATTAATAAGCATTTTGAATTTTACATTTCTAGTTTGAGGCTGTAGGAGAGTTTGCTGACTTTTGTAAACAGGTATATTGTGTAATGAGAATGAAAATGTATTTTTAATATTTAAAATAATTTTACTTTGATGTAGATCATTGGAAAAACCACAGTGGCGTGATTTGCTTCCGTGCAAGCTGGGAATTTGGTTCTGTCTTACTGTAAAATCATTACCTCAGCTGTTGCAGGTAAAAATACAATTTGCACCCCACTTTTTTATGGGATTATTTTGCTGGTTTCATTATGCTGTGATCACACACAGTGTGGCTTGTTCACATGATTTTTCTGTCATCAGAAGTATTTTTCTTATACAGATAAATTATTATTTTAAGGGTATTATTTAAAAGTTCATCTAAATGTGAATATATATTTGTAAAATGAGTCTTTTGTTTAATATATCCTACAATTCTAATTGTAGTTCTCTCAATCTGCACTCTGATTTATAAACAGGCAAGACTTTAAGAACTGTTCAAGAATAAATAAAAAAGGAGGGTGAAAATTACATGTATTTTAGGGGAAGAAGGAGTGTGTGGAAATAAACTGTAAATGGTAACATTTAATTATAGCTTAAATGTATATAAAATATACAGTATTTGTATAATATATTGTACATTAATATCCAGTTCAAATTTAATAGGAAACAGGGAAATAAATTGAGGGCGTTTTTTTTACGTGGAGTAATTTTAATTTTACCCTTTTCGCTGGCAAATGATATCCACCTTTTCCTCAAATTAATCCACTAATTTTTTTTAATGACTGAGAAGGTTTTTAAAAAATTATTCATATGCAAAAATTTGTCAGTGGAAGGATAAGGTTGTACAGTTAGTACTTTGGAGGAGGGGAAAAATCAGGAAAAGCAAAAATTAACATTAGCATAGGAACTTAAATTTGTTCAGCCTGTCTGACTATAGAATTTTCTTCTACTTTAAGTGTATAACAATAGATTTATTTGTTAAAGGCATATTGTAAGATACACAAATTATGTAACATCACCAACTTAGTGTCATTATAGTCAGGAAAGTGTCTATAGAGAGAAAATATCTTCTTACATAACAGATTTTTACACCCTGTGGTTTTGGTCATATCTGCTTTAGTGATTAAAAAATAAGATGGTTGCATTTTTATCTATTATTATTATTATTATTAGTTTCTCTTATTAATACTGTAGAGTTGCTATGAATCAGGGAAAGAAAGCAGGGTTAGATTTTGGCTTACACATCACTAACATAATTATTAACTAAGGCACCACTGCTGGAACTGTTTCCATGCAGATGAAACCTAGGTTTCACTTCCATGCAGTTGACTTTATAGGAGTGGCATATTAAACAAGCAAGAAAGCAAAACAACAAATTGTTTTATCTGTTAGCAGAATAAACTTACTAAGGAAGTCACAGAGACAATAAACATGTTTCTCAGGATTGACCTTTTTAGTGACTTTTTCAAGGATAACTTCTCTTGAATGTTAGTTGTAGACATCTTAACTGCTTGTATTTCCTTATTTTTTTAAAAATTAATGGTGTAGTCTTGATATTGTACTAAAGTAGTTTTTAGTTAATTTTCTTGTTTTAAAGAAAATAATGATCACTTCCCGGTCACAGTTGGGCTTTTAAGTTGATTCCTCGTTTTTGTAAACGAGTTGGGGGAGGAGTGAATTCACAAATTGTTGCTGCTATTTGTTGACAATTTCCTGTATTGGTTAATAATCGTTTTGATTATTTTCTTCATTTACAATTTCTCCAATCCTTTTTCTAGGAGCAATCATGGTGCATTGTGTCATTAGACTGTTACAAAAATCATAGATGCCTATTGAGCATACCCAAGTTACTTTTCTTCAATCATGTAACTTTATTATCCAACAAACTATTCTCAAAAGTGGCCAGTGGTATTCCATAATTAATAATATTTATAGGCTAAGTTTAAAAGCTCCATCCCTATTTGAATGAAGTGTGCGTAGGAGAAAAAGCTGTAGCAATATCTTAGTGGCAAAAGTTTGCCCATGCCACTCACTGTCTTCACCGTTAAGCCTTACATATTACAACTAGCTGAACAGATTTTCCTCAAACTTAAAAAATGTCACTTTTTGCTTGATACCAGAAAGCTTCATCCCCAAAAGAGGCTTTTTTTTTTTTAAGTGAAAGCAAGCTTGAAACTATTTTGCAACATTAATTATAATCTAGTATTTGCTCTAAAAAATATTTACTTATGAGATGATAGGGCATGTTAATGTCCTACTTGCCACCGTTCTATCCACTTAGATGATTCAGATTGCAGAGATGCTACACATGTCTAATTTTCATTTATCCAACTGAATGTCTTCCTCCCCTTTCCCCCCTCAAAAATATCAAATCAGAGAAGGAGGCACTTAAAATAATTAAGGTGGGCCTTTACTTGAGAAAAATGCTTTGTTTGCATGTCCTCGGAATGGCCTATGTCATTTTATCTTGCTCTGCTTTTTGCATGATGGAGTTGAAAGAAAAATAGGAAAGGGATGTGTGAGAAAAATGTAGAACTTTGAAAACTGAATTATATAAGAAGCTTTTATTTTTAATTATTTGGGAGCATGAATCAAGAAGAGGAAGAGGAACAAGATGGATTTTCATAGTTGTGCCTGTGAGGTTAGTTAAATTTAGGGGCGGAGAAAGTGAAGAAAACAAAGTAAATTTAAAAAATTCTTGTAGGAAGGGAGCTTGTTGAAAGAAGTAATGTAACGACGTTGATAGTCCAGGCCAAATCTGGGTGTCGCTTTTTTGTGAATGTAGTGTGAAACACTTAAACATTAACTTGTATTGTTCAGTGTAATTTGTACTGTAATTAAATGTATGATTTGTACTGTAGGCACAGAGTACAATAAATAGGATACATGTTGTTGTTAGGCCCTTTTTTGTTTACTCTTTCAGGTGAATGAAGAGGAATGAAGGAAGGCTGTAGGTGGCTTATTTTTTTCTCTTAAAAATCAACAAAAACAAAACTATCCCTCTCTTCTTCTCCCCCCCCACACACAAGCACAATCTAGGGATTGAAAAGTCAAGCTTGTAACAAGGAATGAAACTGTTTAATAGTGTGTGAGTGTCACAGTCCAAATCAAGAGTGTAATTCAGAGCACAGACTTGTGTTAATTACAGATTTTAATTATCTTTGTGTGGGACAAAAGCAGACTTATCTGTGAATAGACTGGTTTTTAACAAAAAGGTGACTGAGGGTTTCTGTCCGTAGATGAAGAGACATAACTTACGGAAACTGTTTTGCTATTTCCTAAAGGTCCTTGCTAACTACTCTTTATTCTCATTGTTGCTTATAGATAACTGAAAATAAAAGTGTTCTCTATTAAGCTACTTTCTTCTTCTTCTTTTTTTAAGCAAGTATTCTTTGCCCTTCTTCCATGTTACTTGTAGTGGAAGCTTAAAAATTAGTGTGTTGGTCTTCATTTTGTACTAACTCTATTTATGCCAGCACAGCCCTAGGAAACACTTTTGTTAGTTAAATTGTCATGTCACTGCTGGCCTTGCTGTAATGAAGCAGGAAGCATTTTTGTCTGGTTCCTCCAGAAATGGACTCTTGTTAAGAAAATGAAATTCTCCTATTATCTGCAGAATAATGATACAAGCTTCACTGCATATTTCCATCAATAGGTTGTTGGAAAATCTTCTAGTGATTCTCCAATGGTGAGGAGCCCTTCAGTCTCTATTCATATTTGCACCAAGTGTAACCTATTGAGATTGTCAACAAGGTTTCCAATTATGACGGTGACTTTTGGGATACAAACCTTTAGTCCATTTTCTAGTAGACAGAATAAAAATGGCCACTAATTTATTTTATGTAGACCATGTATGATAGTTAATTACACTTAGTTACTAGCCTGGACTAGATTCAAAGCAGTGAGCAAGAGATGTTTAATTTTTAATGTTTAATGCAGTGTTGAATTAAAAGAAAAATCCAGGAGAAATTTTTCACTGCATTTAAACAGCTTTTTAAAGATGGTCCAATTCTTCCCAGAACAGGTTGGCAGTATCTCATTGATCTCAAAAACCTCTACCAAAAGCATTTCATCTTTGGCAAGGCCATTTTCATGTTTCCTTTGTTTTGTGATCTAATCAAACTTTTCCATATATGTTTGTTTATTACATTTTACTTCATATTTTAGTGTGATATATTTGATATAATATCTGTAATATTTAAATAGAATACATAAAAAGAGGGACTTTTATAGAGGAAACTTTGAAGCACAAGATTTAACCCATAGAAAACTATTTAATTCATAGGGGGATGACAACCAGGAGCTACCTAGTTTTCCAGGGTTTTAGGATGACCAGTACTGGAGCACTGCACTTAGTAAGAAGAAGAGTTCCTAGCTTCTGCAAGATAGGATAGGGCAGGGCAGGATGTGGGGCAGAATGGATGCCCATTTACCCTGCCTGAAACCAGGCCCAGACTAAAGAATTTTGGGGCCCTGTGCACTATGGAAATGGAGGGATCTACACCTTACTTAAAGTGCCTCTGCCACATAAATAACCCACCTCACACAGACTTTCAAATGCCCCTTCTATCCCATATATACCCCATTCACATCCCAGGAGCCTTTACATGCATTTTGCTCACTGCAACCCCCAACAATTTACATTCAGCGGCAGTCCCCAACATCCCAGCTCCCAAGCTCACTGACCCCCAGCATTGCCAACTCCCCCTCAGCCCCTCACTCTGCAGCTCCCCAACACTTCTCATCCAGCACATAGGCTATCAACAACTTGCCCCAGCACCTCACCCCCATGACCTTCCAGGCCACTCACTGGTGCCCTGCAGCTCTGCACTCTGCATTCTGCTCTTTTCCTAGGGTAGCGTAGCACCTCCCAATCCCAGCTCCACAGCTCTGCTCATTTCCAGTGCCTGCCGTGCACTTACATGGCCCCACGCTTTAGGGGGAAGGGATAGCTCAGTGGCTTGAGCATTGGCCTGCTAAACCCAGGGTTGTGAGTTCAATCCTTGAGGGGGCCATTTAGGGATCTGGGGCAAAAATCTGTCTGGGGATTGGTCCTGCTTTGAGCAGGGGGTTGGACTAGATGATCTCCTGAGGTCCCTTCCAACCCTGATATTCTATGATTCTCAGCTGCCCCTCTGTAGGAAAAATTTGAGTGAGTGGTGGTGTAACCTGGTGCACAGGTTCTCAGTGCTGCCCTGGTATTGAGTGCACACT